ATGGGTCGGGTCGACCGGTGTAGGACCAAGCTCTCACAGAATACCAGCGTAAAATAGCAGTTTAATGCTGCTGTGTTTCGTATGGAGTGTGTAGAGAACCGGAGACCCGTTTTACTGGAATCCAGGCATTCCATCTTAGTCCTTAAGGGTGACAACACATCTGCATGTTGATTCTTAATTGAGGTTAAATGTAGATGTCCATAGGCAACAGCATCCACTTACCATCAGGTGGCCTTTGTGCTCGTTTGTCAGCCTTATCGTTTAAAGAAAATTGATTATATCAGAGTTGAGTACAGACAGAGTAACAAAAACCAGGGGACAATAACAACACAATAAAAAAACTACAAACTTAAATGTAATTATTTGTTAATTAGCATGCTGACGTTTTGGACAAACTGTAAGCCAGCATGTACACTGTTCTTAAAATAAAAAAAAAAAAAAAAAAATGTAATTACTTTCTACTGATTTAACTCATTTTTTATTTAAGACATTCAAACCTTCAGACAATGTAGCCATGGATAACCATGACATTGGGATGATGAATACTTCAGTCCCCCGTAACAATTGGTGCTGTAAAATACTCAAAACGTCGAGAATATAAAATAAGTTCATTAATATATGTAATACAATCAAAAAAAAAATTATAGATGTGTACCGTTCGCGTAAACATAAGAAATCATTTAGAAGAACTATATTCTGTAAACTTCCCACACATGCCTTGCACAGGTGGGGCACAGGCCTCAACTCATTCCTCAGGGCTTATGACTAAATAGTTGGCCGTATTGTTCCATGCGTTTTAGTGAACTTTTTACGTGGTAGAGTCATTCTGCAGCTGTATTTTAGTTGCAGCAAAAATGGGTCGGCTCGTCCAGAAAATCACCATGCACTCACAGAATACCAGCGTAAAATACCAGCTTAATGCTGTCGTGTTTCGTACGGTCAGTGAAGAAAACCGGAGACCCTTTTTACTTCAAACGAGTCATTCCATCTTAGTCCTCAGGAGTAACAACGCATCTGCATTTTGATTATTATTGGAGGAAAAATGTAGATGTCTATGAGCCATAATAAGTGACGAAAAAATGTGTTTTTGCGCCACGTAGTTATCACACATCCATATGAAATCTAGAGATACTGGAAACTGAGTATCTTATTAGTGATAGATAAGTCCAAACTAGACTAATAATGGACGCAGGTGTTTTATTAATGAATTATACACAACTGTCTTTTGTAATTAAGTCATCCAGCCATAATAGACTTCTCGACTCGACCGGAGAAGATCGCTCTCGAACAGCTCACTGGCGTGAAATAGCAAAATAAAGCTGCTGATAATCATAAGGCAACAGACGAATACCGAAGATCCCTTTTGATGGTAACGAAGCATTAGGACTTATTATTCTGAGGGGACAACTCATCTTTAGTTTGATTCTTAATAGAGATCGGTGTCTATAAACCACAGCCATACTTCTGTACTAAATCCTGGTTTTTTAATAGAATGGGGTAACAAACGAGCACACGGTCCACCTTGTGGTAAGTGGTTGCTGTGGCCCATAGACATCTACATCTATCCACGATTACGAATCAAAATGTAGATGCGTTGTCACTCATGAGAACTAAGATGGAATATCTCGTCTCCAGTAAAAAGAATCTCCGGTTCTCTACAATAACCATACAAAACACAGCAGCATTAAGCTACTATTTTACGCTTGTGGTCTGTGAGAGCGTGGTCCTTCCCCGGTCGAGCCGACCCATTCGTGCTACAACTATACTACTAATATAAATGCAGCGTGGCTCTGCCATGTACAACTGTACAATAAACTAAATAAAGTGTTACGGAATGTTTATTTTTATAATTATAAATATAAAATACTGATAAATTTTATGGAAATTGTTAGAAATGAACGATACAATAGCCAAAAGCTCGAAATTTCTAACATTAAATTAATGTGAGAAAGTAAACGGTACCGCCATCTATTGAAGTAATTATGTACCTACGTCGGAAGTTTTGTTTAAATTTGTTTGTTCAGGTTTTGTCGCATGACTCGCGTAAATGTGCATTCGTAAAATTTTAATTTTATAAAAAAAAACTATAAAAAAGCGCATAGCTCCCGAAACTTACGCAATGAAATTAAATGAAATAAAGATATCAAAAATAAAAATTTCGTTTGTCAAATTTTTTTTTCTTTAATCTAGCACATTTCCAAAATGAGATTCTTCTGTCCGGTGTCTGTGTGAAATAATCCGATATAACATATAGGTGATAATATCAGGGATGATTAAAGTACCTAGAATGATAGAAACTCGGAGGCAATTACAATACATAAAAAAGGAAAATTACACATTTATATAAAACTATTTTTTATTGATTTTATAGCGCATATTAACTTATTTTATATTCAAACCTTCACACAAGGTAGGCGTGGATAACTATGAAAAAGGGATGTCGAACACCTCAGTCCCTGGTGACCTGGGTGCTGTGCTGCGAAGTACTCAAACCGAAAGTAATATGAAATAATTTAATTAATACGCTATAAAATCTAGATCTATGTAGGCTGTGTGCTCGTTTATAATCCATGTTTGTAGTGCTCTATACAAAATCCTAACTGAGCCAAAAAATATAAAATGAAGTATTACAGAATGTCTATTTTATATAATTTTGATAAACTTTGTGGAAAATATACTAAATGAACAATACAATTGCCAAAAACTCGAAATTTCTAACATTGAATAAAACTGAGAAAGTTAACGGTATCGCCATCTATTGACGTAAGTATGTAACTACGTCAGAAATTTTGCTTAATTTTGTTTGTTCTACTAAGTTATTTCAGAAGCTCTGATCATAATTTAATTTTAAAATTACAACAAAAACCTTTTCAACCGACTTCAAAATAGGAGGAAGTTTTCAATTCAACTGTGTTTTTTGTGTTATGTGTTTCCTCGGAACATTGTTCTGGTTGAACCGAGTTTTATAATTCTTTTTTTATTTGAAATTTGGTCCTAATTATGTAGTAGCATATAAATGTGATCAAGATCTGACCATTAGTTTTTAGTTATCCTCGATAGTGCGTTTTTTATTGACTTCGGCTAGATTGATGATGTTCTTATTTTATTTATATTGAAGTTGGCTGTACAAAATTTTTAATTTTACCACTTGTTTATTATACATCTCAATTTATTATTTTAGTAGAAAGCCGGATGTTTGAGTATTGCGCTTACAAAATGGGCGAATAAAAGAAAAACAAGTTTTGAAGTCTTGATTTCCTCCGAGCTACGATTTGCGAACTTTCAATTGTAGTCGAATTGTTTTTTAAAGTATCTCAGGTCGAAGTGGTGTAAACAGGGAGATGAGAAGGGAGGTTCTGTTGCGCGTAGACAAAACCTTTTTCTTTCCTTAGTTATCAGACCCCGCGATAATCCCACTTGTCAGAGCCATTGTTTATATTTGTTCTCGAAAATAATACAAGCTGAAAGGTATTATATTTAATATTAGTTTAAAACATATTTTGCTAACTGTAAATAAGCAGAAGATTTGTTGTGACGGGTCCGTTTGTTGTTTTCGTTAAGATAAATTAGATTTCATTACTTTGGAATAAAAATGAAGGATGAAAAAGTTATCGTATAATATTTAATGCAATATTATTTAACTAATCCACTAAGAAAAGTGAACACGCTTGTACTAAGCATTAGCTCATATGCAGCTTGTACTTTAATTTTTAAACTTTCATGTAAGTTTATATATATCATTTTATATATTATTATGTACAAATCTAGTCTTATTTAAACATTTCCCTTTTTTGTACTCACTGTAAAGTTTTTGAGGATATTTCTTTAGCATTGCTATTTAAATACAGTGCCGTCGATTTTTTGTAAAACGGAAACGATTACGTGGCAATACTACGTGGTAGAGCAAGGCTGCAACTATTTTAGTAGTATAGTTGTAGCTCGAATGGGTCGACTCGACCGGGGAAGAACCACGCTTTTACAGAATAGTCGCCTAAAGTAGCAGCTTTACGCTACTGTGTTTCATATGGTGAGCGTAGAGAACTGGAAAACCTTTTTACTGTAAACGAGGCAATCCATCTTAGTGCTCACCAACGCATCTGCAATCCATATATCGAGGATAGATGCATATGTATGATGTACGTGTGCCGCAGCAACCATTTACCATCAGGTGGACTATGCAGTGTCAGTGTGTTCTTTTCACCATTATCTTATAAAATAATGAACGTACATTTTCTGAGGCGAAAGAAACACTCCGAGCGGTTGTAGATACTATAATCAGTTACACTCTGGATATTTATTGAACAAAAACGCCCAAACCCAATGGAAGGATATATTAGTTATTTCTAAGGTACTTATAGCGTAAAACACAGAATTATCGTTACATAATTAAATTTACTATGTTATATAGTCGTAGTAGTTCCAAATATTTATAGATAAAAAAGATAAATTAAATAATACAAAGCATTTTGGAAAATACAGCACGCTCGTTCATTTAAATTGCTCTTCGCTTTAGTATAACCGTACGATTGGATTACTAAAGAAGAATAAACCGTTTCTTTACTCCTAACATTAACGTTAAGCTAAAATATATGTTCGTCTCTGTGCGTCGTCGGATAAATGGAATCCGCAAATCCTTACAATATCCAATAGCGTAAAAGAAATGCGCGAAATTAAATTCCGAAGCGCAGCCATTTGTAAAGAGAGCCGGCGGGAACCGCAGAACGATCGGGATTAGAGCTCGCCTGGAGCGCTTCGCCTGCTTTGGGACGCTGAGCGAAATTTTCTTAACATATGTGACATGTCAAAGACGTCCAGCTCAAATGCCAACTTTTTGCTTTATATCCACGGACATGGAAACGTGAATCTGGTCTACGCCGCTAAAGTACCGCACCGTATCAGTTGGATCTCTCAGTGTCGAAGGGCTCTCTAATTTCGGTATCCGAGCGGCCCACAACCGCGGGTCTTATACAGGAGGCTCGGGTCCTGAAAATTGAATTTCAATGTCACTACAGTGCAGATGTAGAAATGATCAGAAGCTCGGGGCGATCGTTGGGGCGCGCAGGGAGTGCGGGCCGGGTGGTGCAGCGGGGGTGCGCGCGCAGCGGGAGAGGGGGGGGGAGGGTGCGCCGCGCCAGTGCCCCGGGCTCGCCGCGCCGCGTGGACGTGTTGCGGAGCGCGGCGCCGTCCCGCGCGAATGTCGCGCGCCCTGTGAAGTGAAACGCGAGCATGCAACGTCCCCGCAGTGATCGTTAGTGAACACGAAAGTTTCTGTGCATATACGTGTAGTGATAATGCCCGCGTACTGAGTCGCGTTTTGTCTCTAACATAAGTAAGTTTGATATATAAGTTACGTAAGAAAAGTGAAAGTGAGGGTAGTTTTAAGTCAAACGCTAAATCGCGTTTCGATCAAGGACCGCGGATCCGTCGAAAATTACTTTTATGAATTGAAGTTTTGATATTTCATGGCATTATCGTTTTAAAATTAGCGTCCCCAATGTATGTTATCTACGTATATATCCGTTTAAAACAAATTTAACTAGTAACGTTGTTTAGTAACGACTATGTTATTATTAATCATTATTTTTAACAACTCACATTAAATCATGCATGGAATATCTAGTTTTAAAAATTTTATTAGCTGCTATTTTCAGCGGCTATATGAAATTCAAGTGAGTGTACCTACTTGTACTTGTACGGAGTCAAGAGGCTACGCGTCACCGCTGCCTGAAAGCCGCGTAAAACTTTATGAGCGGTTTAAACCGATGCATTAGCCAACGAGTACTTAAATAGATAGCACCAGCTCGTGAATAAAATATTTTAATTCTTTAGAAAACCTACTCTATTTGATTAGCGACATATTCATTTACGCTATGCGAAACGCTATAGAGGTCTTCACTAAGACCAACTTCTTAATATTAATCTCCATATTTTCGCAAATAGCCCGTAACACCCAGAGGACCGCTTATGCGAACAATGCACAAGCGGAAAACTTTATTAAAGCGAAGTTTGAATATTTCAGACGGTATTTCATTCAGACGGTATTTCATTTCTGCAAAACTTCTTCAGTGCGCTTTTGATGCAAATCCAATTCCTGAATTTACAGAACTACTGACTAAATAAAAAGATGGAATTACTTTTTGAAATTTGATAATAGCATTAAGTAATATTTAATTCCTACACCTAAATATTTTTAAGTATACATACGTATTTAAGTAAATTAAATATTTTTAAGTTTAGATACTTTAATGTTGTTAAGTGTAGTGCAGGTGTGAGAATATCCACTGCTCTATATCCACTGCTCTATATCCACTGCTCTATATCCACTGCTCTATATCAACTCGTGTGTCGTAAAAGACGACAGAGAGAAACAAAACAGGCGCTGGGCAGCAGCGTCTTTGTAATTAATAACGGCTAAAAATTAAAAAAAACTGTGGCTGCCAACCCTCCTGCCAAGCGTGGTCTCTATGACTATCCCCCCCCCCCCCCAAGGCGGTCCCCCATGAGAGGCCTATGTTCAGCAGAGGACTTACATATGCTGTAACGGATACTTAAATATTTTTATTTATCTTAAATTAATTCTTAAGTGCCGGTTCAGTATTGATTTTCAGCTTATCTCAATTGCCTTATAACAAGGTGTAGGCTGTTTAATATCAGTAGGCGCCAGTATTTGCACGTTCTAATTGAATTACCCCTAAGTTCAATACATTATATCGGTTAACCCCTAAATGAGCAGAATAACATCTTACTAATATCTAAAGGTGACGATTGATAATAATTTATTCTCCTTCATCAGAAGTCTAGTGCTGGGCATGGGGATGCCATGTTGTGGAGAGGATTGTTTTCGTCATTTTTCTAGAATAAGGGCGACAAGCGAGCACACAGTCCACCTGATGGTAAGTGAATACTGTGGCCCATAGACATCTACATCTATCCTCGATTACGAATCAAAATGACGATAAGTTGTCACTCCAGATGAAATGCCTTGTTTCCATATAAGGGGTATCTGGTTGTCCAAATTTGTCATATGAAACAGCGGTATTAAGCTGCTATTTTACGCTTGCATTCTATGAGAACGTGGTCCTTCTCCGGTCGGGCCGACTCATTCGTGCTACAACTGTTGTACAGCTGCAGCGTGCCCCTACCGGGTGAAGTGAACATCGTGTTCGGCAGGAGGATCACGCTAACAGATATTTCAAGACTTATACGCTGCTCCCCGTTGCCATTGCCTGTATTTTATGTCTGACTAGATATACAGCAAGATGGTGCACTGATATCTGTCGGAAGCCACAATATTTTTCTGGCGTTTTTAAAGTCCCCTATTACGACACCCGCCGGACGGAAGGAGGTGATGCAGTCCTGCTCCGTCACTGTACGGAAAATAATAAATGTGGATGTCTATTATCTACTACCAAATTTTATTTTTTATATTGCATACACATATAAGCATAATATTTATGTTATATAACTTAACTAGTGCTCATAGTACACAAGAGCAATTACACTTTTGTAAATTTTAGATAAATGATAATATGTTCATCAATGATGTCTTAAGTTTACGCAAACACTACACATTGAATAAAACATTTATACGGATTTTATCGCGTTTAATTAATTTATTTTTTAATTTCCGACGCTTCGAGTACTTTACAGCACCCATGGTCACGTGGGGAGTGGGGATGATGCAAGGCTTCAAGATACTCACCTAATCGTATCGTTCTGCGTAGATCGAACCAAAAATTAATGTTCAAAAACAGAGGGTTGCAGGGCTACCTATAACGTGAGTGTCCACGAGTGCTGTAAAGCACTCTTATCATCGGTAATCTAACTTAAAAATAAGTAATTAAACGCGATAAAATCCATATAAATAGTTTTATTTAATATGTTCATTATTTATAATCAAATTAACATAACATTAACTCCCTCGCCTGTCACCCAATAGGGTAGGCAGAAACTATGGACTTCCGTTTGACACGATCATGACACACGTCTCCCGCTTTTTATATTCATATATTTACGCATACATACTCGTTAGTTAAGGGTACTTTTAACTTGGTCCATGATTAAGATATCGCCAATATAGTCGAAAAACTTATATTTAGGGTAACCCTTGTTAATCCTGCCAGTCATTCCTGCAGCATACATTTAACTTGTAATGTAAATAAATGAATTTACTTTTATTTGTAAAGATATAATATACATTAGTTATAACAGCGACAAACTTGCAAATAGTTGACCTAATTGTAAGTGACTTCTATAATCTCTCCCGCGGGGTATCTTGCTGGTTCTTCCCAGTACAGAGTCTTTTTCCGAACTATAGGTAAAGTTTAAATTACTTTCAATGTGTATTCTTATAATCTATATTAAAATAAAATGATTATATTCTATTCAATACCCTTATAACACCTTCAACTAACTTAAACTAAAAACTTAACATTGCATTATCACCTTTGAGTACTTACTTACTTTTTACTTAAAATCGGAATAAGAAGTGTCTGGTAACCACGTAGAAAAACTCCTAAATAGAAACGGAGCAATATTGTCTAAAATATGCAACAAAATAAATAGTCAATAAGATACTTCTTTCTTTATTTTTGCATTCAGTCCTTAAATTCCGTTCAAACTATCGCTAAAGCGTGGATGGAAGCAAAAGTTTTATCATACCAAGGGATATTTAAGACGATGGCGGCAGAATTGCTTTACTGTAGCTTAAACGGGATTAGTCCTGTAGAAGGATAACGGTAAACTAATATGCGGACGAGAATAGGCTTCAAATATTCTCACTTTAAGTGTTACCGAATCCGATATCCATTTATAGATAGTAATTAAGGAATTGATATTCTATTGTCCTTAGAAGTGGTAAATTGGTACATTATCTAATAACGTAACGGCGGAAATTAAAAGGCGCTACGAATTTTAATTTTCAAAACTAACATAAGTGTTTGTAATTAATTTAACACCTTTATCCTTAAAACATCATTTTAATGGATCCAGACAAAATATAGATTAAAAATGTGACCACAACATGAACTTTTATAGTGATAAGCATTCTAACGACACTTATTGCTTCATGGCTGGGTACATTTAATTAAATGAATCAATCAAGTCTTTATTTGCGAATATAGGTGTTAACAAGGTTATTTTATAATATTACGTATAAAGTTTAAATTCTTCTGAATTAAGCCAAATGGCGTGTAAAATAAAAGAATTTACATACTAAAAATCGCAATCTTGTAAATCATTCTCTTTATTACATTACGTTTAATTACATCACCTTCTCCCAATTTATTTCTTGAGTTGGTGATTTTATCTTGACAAGTAGTGGCGTTGTTTATTCATAAAATATAATAATATGTGCTCTGATGATGCTGATACATAAATGTGCTCTTCCAAAAATTTACTGTTTCATTTGATTAGTTGATTCTTTGTTTTCATTGATTTGTTATGTAAATTCATGCATTTGTAGATAAGTAATAGTTTGACTTTTAGATGTTGAACTGATTTATTCGTTAAAAAGGGGTTTTGAATTTGTTTCGATTAAATATTTTTTCACTTACGCCTATTCATACTTGCCGTAATTTTGTAAATCTATCAATTTTTAATTCATCCAAAAATTATTTGTAATGTCTTAACATGAGTAAAGTAAAACTATCTACGAAAGCCGAGACTTCGTAGTCTAATACACAGTGTTACTTTCATGAAATACTTGATAGCCAGCAAACAACAAAGTTTTTTTTTAAACATTGGGTCTTTTGTTACGCTAAGACAGTGCGTTATACCATCCAGGCTTTTCATCACTTATCACCAGGTTGGATTATGGTCAAACACTGTCTAATATTAAGTAAAAAATAATTAAATAAGCAATTCTGGTAACGAGATGTTTCGTCGCAGAATCTTTATAATGTTTCTTTTTTCCTGCTTCCGTAATATATTCTCACGGTTTATTCCTCGTATGCGTTGTGAAGCACGCCATTCGCAATAATATTATTTTTATTTCTAAGTCCCAACGGCATATTCTGACAGTTGGAATTTTCCTGCCGGCGGTTCCGTCCTGAGGGTTTTGCGTTACGTGACACGCAATGTTGAACATTATTTAGTTTCTTAAGAGTTATAGCAAAGTAAAATTACAATACACGGGATGTTTGTTACATAGCCTTTTTCTATTTTTTTTAATTATATCTAGCAACCGCCCCAGCTTCGCTAGGATAGGATCTATTAACGTGGTTTTATTTACATTTAAGGAAATCAA